ATTAAAAAAAAGCTTTTTAAATTTTTTATGAGATTATTGTAATATAAATTACAATATTTTTTTTATGATTTTACATACAATTATGCCGAATCAGATTACAAATAATGTTTGCAAAATTAAAAAGCTTTTTCTTGAAAATTGACGAACAGTTCTGTAATATTACAATGCGTGTTAGGTTTATACAAGAAGATTGTAAAATTACAATACATCTTAGTAGATTTCCTGACAGGTGTTGGAAAATTACATGAATTGTATTTTATTTCGCATTGCTATACACTGATTTGTAATTTTACATATCATTTGTTTTGTAATATGATTGTAATTTTACAAAAATTTTTAACAGTGTATACATAGTCTGGGTACTTTTTAAATAAATTTAAAAAATATTAATATCACAGGATCAATTACTAATAATTTATTGAACAAATGTGACGAGAAAAATCCATAGAATGGAAAAAATTCATAAACAAGATTTTTATAACAATTAAACGACGAAAAAAAAATCTAGCGAAAAATTCCACATGTAGAAATTTTTAAAAGTTATAATTGAATTTTTAAGAATATTTTTTTTATAATAGATTTGTTATAAAAATTTAAAAAATTTTTAGATGTATTAAAAATATATAAAACCAAAAGGGGACATCCATTAATTACATGAGCTATTTTTCGATCAGTTTAGACTCCTCCCCCCCTTAGGTGAGATTTAGTGAGATTTTTCTGGACCCCCCCCCCTCCCTTTACGTGAGATTGACGCTAAAAATATTTTAAATTAAAATTATTTTTATTATTCGGGAGAATAATAAACCATTCAAGTATATTATAGTTAATTTATTTAAATTAAATAAAATTCAAAGCAAAAAAAACATAAAAACAACACTTTTTTTTAATTTTTACTCAATCCATGGAGACTCATGTACTTTTTTTTATACATACATATTATAATTTATATTATAATTATAATCTTAAAGAAATTCACCATTAGCTCTGAGAAGAGCTTGTTTAAATCATCAGCGTAAATGATTTTAATAGACATAAAATTTATTTTAGCGGGCAAAATAAACACTCAAAATAATTTTTTTTTTTAATGTTTGTAATATTTTATATTTTTTGAAGTTGAGGTGAGATTTTTGATTATCCCCCCCTCGGCTTAGATGAGATTTGGTGAGATTTCATTGGACCCCTCCCTCCTCATTCTGAGCTCACGTGATTAATGGATGTCCCCAAAGGCGCTAATTTTTATCAAGACTTTTCTAATGATGTCAAATTTAACTATAAAAATAATAATATGCTCGTCACAGAATTTTCCTTCCTCTCAATTATTTAAATCAAAAATAGCTGACTACCGCTGAAAAAAATATCAAAACCAATTTACGATAAAGATATACACGTTACTAAATTATTCTTAGTCTCTTAATTATATAAATTAATTTTTGACCTATAATCACAACATTCACATGTACAAAACAAAATAAATAAATAAATGATGTTTATTCCGAAATTCGAATCTATTTATAACTACTTTAAAAATTAATCATAATAAATTAACTATTGCTGAAAAGCATATGAAATATTTAAAAGGCACAAATTCAAATCAAGACCTATCCAATGATACTAAATTTTGTTTAAAAAATTTATTTTTTCATATAAATTTTTCGGAGACAAAATTTTCCTTATTTTCTTAGTTATTTAATTTTTAATCATGATGGTTACATTAGAGAATACTTAAGTATTTATTTAATTTAATAAATAAAATTGATATTCATTTTTATTTACTCTTAATCTCGAATTATTAACAACTAATTCATGTTTAAAAATTACAAGTTGAATTATTACTGATAAAAATTAAAATATAAATTAAACTATAAATTTTTTATGTAAAAATTTAATTATTTTATATATATAAAATTTACATCTACGTCTTAGACAAAATTTTTCCTTTTAGTTATATAGATTATATAAAAAATTGTAATAATCAATATCATTTTATCCAACAGGAGGGGCATTGTGATTCATTGAACGATTACACTGGACGTGAAAATGCAAAGCATATCGATTTGAATCGTGACTTTCCAGATCAATTTGAGCGTATTCCAGATTTTGCTGTTCGCAGACAAAGTGAAACTGTTGCTATGATGATGTGGATTGCTAATCAGCCTTTTGTTTTGTCTGGTAATTTCCACGGAGGTGCTGTTGTAGCTAGTTACCCCTACGACTCAGGGTAATAATTTTTTCACATTTATTAAATCTTAAAATTAATTCTGACATCAATCTGCTAGATCATGTTATAATTACTTATTTAAATATACTTCCAGCATATCTCGGTCATGTTGCATTGAAAGTAAGTCACCGGACGACAATCTTTTCAAGTATTTAGCGCATATCTATGCTGATAATCATCCCATAATGCATAACGGTAACGCTTGTTTACCTGAGTACTTTCCTGGAGGAGTAACTAATGGAGCTAAATGGTAACAATACCATCTGAAATTGATTAAAAATTATTTTATAGCTTTTAATTTAAAAACAGTTAAATAAATGATTTTTTTTAATAGGTATGAAGTTGTCGGTGGCATGCAAGATTTTAATTACGCTCGATCAAATGCATTTGAGATAACATTTGAATTAAGCTGCTGTAAATTTCCATCAGCTTCCTTGTTGCCCGAGCACTGGGATTTAAATAAAGAATCACTTATTAAATATTTGGAACAAGCTCATATTGGAATTAAAGGTAAATTATTCATTTTGTTCATTTTAATTTTATTTTATCTAATTTATTTTTTATTTTTTATTCAGGTTTAGTACTTGATCCGAATGGCTACCCGATTGAAGATGCACGAATACATGTTGTAGGCAATAGTCATAATATTACCACTACAAACCGTGGTGAATATTGGAGATTATTACTCCCAGGCGATTACCAAGTTTATGCTAGTGCTTGGGGGTAAGTTGGATAGATTATTAAATTATAGTTTGCAATTTAATATTTTTTTTTGTTCACTATCAATATTTTTTTTTCTATGAATTTACATTTAAAAAAAAAATAATTTTTTTTTTACACAGAATTAAGGTAAAAGTCCCCATTATTAACACTATAAGAGTGATCATAAATATTTGAATTTTTTTATCGTGTTTCAAATCAATATTGTCAACTTTTTTTTATAGGACATCTTAATCATTGTTTTTACGTATATAATTTAATTAATTAACTTTAATAGCAATAAATTTGATAATTATCATATCAACTTAAAACCAACAAGTCGAATGTATGTATTATTGACAGCGCAAAAAATTCAAAGAGCTGATTATTGACAGGTCTTTTATTACAGTTAAATTTATATTAACAATAATCATTTTTACTAACTAATGCAAAACTATCAATAATTTTTATTATTTTAAAATTCGTTTAAGATCTAGCTTTTCTATATTTTTTACCAGATTTTTTTTTTAGCATTTTTCTCTAGTCTCAAATACTTTGATTTTTATAAAATCACATGACAGTATGTAAACATTAATATGTTGATATGTATGTTGAGGGAGATAATTTACCTTACATTATGGCCTATGTCGTTAGTTGACGCAAGTTAATTTTTGTGTCCCCATCATTGACATCCGCTATTTTAAAATTAATTTTAACTCGATAATGTATAAATAAATAATCATATGGTTATTTAGACTATAAATAATCTAAAATAATTTTTAACAATGCAATTACATAAAAAAAAAAAAAACATTGAGAAATCTGGATTTGAAAATAAGGTCTTTCTTAAAGATATTGTTTAGAAATTACGAACATTTAAGCAATTTTGGCCTACTTAAAAAAATAAAATTTTTTTGCGGTAAATAGTTTATACCTTGGAATTAAATTTTACTATTTTTTAATTTTTAAAATATGTAAAATTATCATGAAATATCAACAATTGTGATGATTAACAAATTTTAATAATGAAATAATAAAATTGAATAGGGTGTCAATAGTGGGGGCTCTGTCAATGATAGGTGCTTTTACTTTAATTGAATTTATTTAATAAAATTATTCTTTTTTTTTTATTATTACATTAATTAAAAATTTTTAAAGTTAAATTTTATTAAAATTACTGATTATTAAATTTATTTTTTCAATTTTAAATTTTACAACGCAGTTAATAAAATTATTTTTCATTGATAAAAAATAATAATAAATGCTTATTTATTGTTATTTAAGCTCAGATAATTTTTTGAATCATGAATAAAAATTCTTAACAAACTTTAAAAATTCTAAAAGCTCTCAAAACTAAGTATAAAAAAATATTACTGCAAAATGAATCCTCTATATATTAAATTATTTAATTAATTATATTAAAATTTTTTAATTTAGATTTACACCTAGTGAGCCAGTCCATGTAACAGTAGAAAAAAACGAACCGAAAATTGTGAACTTTACATTAAATCAGACTCCTGATGAACAAGGTAAAAATCTGGATTACCCTCAAGTGCTCCCTATTGCGCGAGAATTTTCACCAATCGAAAGAATAATCGATGGCTACATGAATTATCAGGAATACGATTACTAACTCTCACTAATTCTTTTTAGTTATTTCTAACTGGCAACTTTATTTTTATTTAATTAGTTTTATTTTTATGATTTTATTTTTATTTTTTACAGCTCTCAAATACTAGTGACGAATATGGAAATCATTCGACTGTTATTTATTAAGAATTAGCTTTCAATTTATACATTATATATAAAATCGAATAAATCTTAGAGATTTATACTCCAGCAACTTATTCAATTAAAATATTAATGATCTAAACAAGGTATGGAGAAAATCCCCTAGTCTACGGAAGCTTAATTGGATTGCGGAATTTTTATTTTTTGATTATAATTAAATTATTTTGCACTTAAATATTCCACATAGTATCAAAATTAGTTTAGTTAAAAAAATATATATTATATAGATAAATCTACATATCTTCCTGACGGTAAAAATCTGATTTTAAAAAAGTATTATGATTTTAAAAAGACTTAAATTTTTTTTTATTTTATTTAAAATTTTTCTTTTAACTATTTTTTTTTTTTTCATTTATAAATGATTAAGTTTCAACAACTGCTAATAATATTGTTAAATAAATGATAAATTTATGTAACCACAGTGAAATTTATAATTATTTTTAAATTACAAAGTTTATCAATTGCAGCGCAATATAAAAATGATTATAAGTAAAAGATCAGCAATTGAGAAATTGTATAAAAAAAAAAAAATAATTAAATGTTAAATGTTACAACTTATCATACATGTTTTTCATGTCTCTTATAATATAAATGAAATGTGTAGTGTATGATGATGTATAAATAATCGGTGTCAAGTAAACGAACAAAAAAAATGAACAAAAAAAAAAATAAAGTATTCTATTTGCTCTTATTGGTAAATGATTTTATTCATTTCAGAATTAAATCACTTGGCCTTTCCTCAATTCCTGTTAATGATTATTATTTATTTTAATTTTAATTTTCTCCATGCCTTGTTTATTATTTTTTATCCGTTATCACTTATTATTTTATTATTTTTTTATTTTTATTTTTATTTTATTTATCCTTAGCCCAAGCGTCCGAAAAAGTCGAAGAAACTGTGCGCCCTCGAGATACATACGGTTTTTATCATCCAGTTCCATTCGTTCATCATAATTACACATCAATGGAACATTTCTTAAAGGAATTAAATGGCTCGTATCCACAATTAGTTCGTCTTTACAGTATCGGCAAATCTGTCCAAGGACGGGAGTTATATGTGATGGAGATAACGAAAAATCCGGGAAAACACGATCCCAATAAGCCAGAAGTTAAGTACATTGCAAACATGCACGGAAATGAAGTTGTTGGTCGAGAAATTTTGTTATTATTACTCGAGTATCTTTGCGAGAACTACGGCAGTGATGAAAGAGTCACCAGAATTCTTGATACAACTAGATTACATATAATGCCTAGCATGAACCCCGACGGATACGCAGTCTCGAAGATTGGAGATGTTGATGGGGTTGTTGGAAGAGAAAATGCCCATAAAGTTGATCTAAATAGAAATTTCCCTGATCAATATGTAACTGATGAGGTATTTATATTTATTTTATCAAAATTCAATTAGGTAAAGTACCCAGTAGTTAAACAGGTTTCAAAGTAAAACGTATTTGACGCTACTTTTAATATACAAAGATGAATTATTAGTTCAAATTAGTGATTTTCATAAATATAAACAATTTCAAATTGATTAAAGCATAAGATAACAAAGATAATTGAATATTTATATTTTGATAACGTTTTTAAGATAGACTATGAAAGGAGTTGTTGAACAATCAATTCTGACAAGCCGCAGTAGTTGAACACTCTGGGAGCAGTAGTTGAACTAATAAAATATATCGCAATAGGCACAGCAAAAATTTTCAACGTTTTATTGAAATATCAAAAGAATTATAACATATTATTGATTAATATTAAAAATAATACTATGAATATTTAATATGTTCATTTAAAAATGAGAAATATATTGAATTTTTTAATTACATTTTTTTATAAATGACCAAGTAAATTTTTAATTTTGATTAAAAAAAACTCAATTCAAAACGTTTAATAAGTTTTAACAACACTAATTTTTAGCTATAAAACTTATTTAATTTGCAGTAATTAATACAAATTTAAATGCTGATCACTAGTCTATAAACCTATTAGAGATTAGAGTGCTGTTGAAATTATACGGCCCCAGCTTATACAAGTTCTGGGTACCGCTTTGAAAATTTGGAGGTATAGTTAGACACTAAAATTTAATATAAAATTATAGTTTATGTCTTTACAAAAAATCTATATTATTAACAGAATAAGAAAAATTTTTTTGATAAAATATATGATAAAATCAGTTTTTTTTAATGAAATTTAGTGTCATTGCAATGGTCTTGACTTGAATTTGTGCCTTTTCAAGGTTCCATTTCATTCTCACCGATAGTCAATTTATTATGATGAGTATTTAGGCAATGATTGAGGCATAATTAAGAAATGACCTTGTATCTTAATCTTGTGAAGTATTAACATTTCTAAAGATATAAGTTCATCCCGATGTTACACTCATCAAGAGTTTTCATTTGAGTACCCACATCAATTTTTCATATATTTATATATATTATATATATGTACATATGAAAAATATGTCAAAATGCATGTGGGTACTCAAATGAAAGCTCTCGATGAATGTAACATCGTAATAAACTTATATCTTTAAAAACGTCAATATTCAAAAAAGTATAGAGCAATTTAACAAAAGTCATTATTTCATAGAGCAAAATTTTAATTTTTTATAGTTCACAAGCCACGGCAGTCACATAGTGACTGCAAGGTTGTTATTATGTATTATTTGGAAAAGACTATTTCATTGAGCGGTACAATTTTTTTTACGTAAAATGATAATATACTGTTTTTTTTTTTTTTACTGATTATTCGGTTTACAGTTTAGTACCTTTTTCATGAAAAAAATAGCATCTATTGGCTATTCTCGACATGTTAACTTTTAAGTTACCAAAAATATAATTGTTTTGATTTATAATTGAAAAAACTTACAAAAATCAATTACTGTATCATTAAATAATTATACCATGCGCATATTACTCATAATAAATATACGGATTTTGTATTACAACAATTCGAAAAGTCTGTTCAAGTACTGGTCCCATTTTTATAAGTGTTCAAGTACTGGGTACTTTATCTTATTTTTATTTTTATTTAATTAAACTACCCTCGATTTTTATTTTGTAGTTAAATAGAACCCCCGAACCAGAAACTAAAGCTGTGATGGATTGGATAGCGAGTCTTCCATTTGTTTTATCCGCAAACATTCACGGTGGCGCACTTGTTGCCAATTATCCTTGGGATGACGGACCAACTCAAAACTCACGAGAACCTAACTTAAGCCCCGACGATGCAGTATTCAGAGCCTTGGCTCTAGCTTATTCGAACGCACATCCGCGAATGCACCTTGGACAGCCGTGTCCTCCTCCGCCAGGTAGGAAATGGATGTCCACTGTGCTTGATGACAAATTTCCTGATGGAATCACCAATGGAGCTGCTTGGTATTCAGTGACCGGTGGAATGCAAGATTATAATTACCTACATAGCAATGCTTTTGAAATTACGCTTGAAGTTGGCTGCACAAAGTTTCCTCAAACAGAAGAATTGCCCAAATTCTGGCTGGAAAACCGAGAACCTCTTCTAGCTTTTGTTGAAATGGTATGTATATCAACAAGCGTGATAAAAAGTATTTTTTTCTGAGCAATTTACTAAAATACTTATCTTAAACCTAAAAATTAAAAAAAATAATGCAGTCAAAGGGGTGTTTTCTAACTATACGTTCTTTTAAGGGGGATTCTGGTCTAGAAGCTTGATTTGAAGTAACTTTTGAAGTGTCGTAAAAAAGGCAATCAATATTTTTACAATTCAATTTTTTATAAGATATTTATTAATATTTAAAGAATACAGAAAAAAAATTCAAAAAGTTAGCAGCTAATAAAGTAGGGGGTTTCAAAAAATTGGCACGCGGCCGTACCCACGAATCCAACTCTCCTACCAAAAAAAAAATTATTAACTTAGAATAATGCCTCTACCGTACTAACTAAAAAAAAGTTGAAAAAAAAATTTTTCTTTCACAAAATAGCAACTGCCTGAAAATTTATTTCTTATAATAGTGCCGATTTTTTTTTCAAAAGAAATTTTTTCTCTCAGTGTATATAAACATTCTATTTCCAAGCAATTTTTTTTCTACATTAAGTGACAATAATTTTTCAATAGCAAAGTTTTTTTCTACCGAAGTATTTTGGTAAAATTTTATACGCAAAAAAATACAATTGACATTTTCATACTAGATCTCATAAAAAATGGAGCAAAAATTCTTAGCAATTATCTTCTTAAATTATTTTTTACACTAAGGGAAAAAATTTACTTTGAAAAAAATAAACAATTTTGCAATAAGAAATCAATTAGTTAAAAATTTTAAACAATTTTATTTTTTAGCTGAAGAAATAAAAATTTCTTTCACCATAACTTAATTATTGAAAAAAAATTTTCTAGATACGAAAAAAAACAATTTTGGATGAAAATTCGGAAATTGTCTACCTAATTTTTTTTTCCTAAATCAAAAAACTTTTTCAACAAGAAAGTTACTGTGAGAAAAATTTTTATTTCTTCAGCTAAAAAACAAAATTGTTTAAAATTTTTAACTAATTAATTTTTTCTCAGAATTTCATTTTTTTTAAGATAAATTTTTTCTTTTAACTATTCTTTCTTCAGCCAGTACCTAAAATTTTTATTATAACATTGCTCATTTTTAATCGGTTTATTGACCGTATGATAATTATTAAAATCCACCAGTACAAAGAAATTTATAAACTTGGGATTTGAGTATGAGTATAAATGTGTAATTGTACAGAATAATGACTTAAAGTAGTTTTGGGAAACGATTAATTGTAAACTCAGTAAACTTTAACAAAGCTTACAGTTACTTATCTATTACTTTAATTGAATAGTAACGAAATTTTATAAATTTAAAAATAATGTAAAGTAACATTAACGATAATATGCTATACAATTGACAATATTTTCATACTAGGTCCTCATAAAAAATGGAGTCAATAAATCTTAGCAATTATCTTCTCATTTTATCATTTATATTAAGAGAAAAAATTTCTTTAAAAAAAAATTAACATTCTTAAAATAAGAAATTAATTAGTTAAAAATTTTATTTCTTAGCTGATGAAAATTAAAATTTTTCTTACAGTAATTCACTTGAAAAAAAGTTTTCTAAATTTAGGATAAAAATTTTGCCCATCATAGTTTTAGCGCGGAATTTTTAAATGAACATTTTAATTTCTTCAATAATAATTTATTTTATTTTAGGCCCGCAAAGGTATTCACGGATTTGTCCGGTCTTCAATCGGTAATCCGATTCCTCATGCCAAAATATCAGTCGAAGGAATAAAACACGACATTTATACAGCAAAAGACGGAGACTACTGGAGATTATTAGTACCTGGTACATATTCAGTAACCGCAAGTGCACCAGGCTACGAATCCTCCACTTTGGTAGTAAAGGTCCCATCAAGCCGCAAATCCCGCCAGCAAGAAGTCGTAGTAGACTTTACCCTCATGCGCGATGATAACGATCACTGGTCCTCAGCTTATGATTTTCGGCAGCTCGTTAATTTAAAACCAGTTTACTTAAACAATTCCAAATTAAATCAAGTACTGAGTGAATTTGAAAATCAACATCCAAGCTTTGCTGAGTTCAAAGCTGGTGATTCGCTAGACAGTATGGCGATACATTCTTTAAAAATTTCACGTAATCTAGGCGGACCTGAAGAGAACAAAATTCACATAGCATTAGTCGGTGGGTTGTTTGCATCCCAACCGGTGGGTCGTGAAATTTATCGTCGTCTAGCTCACCATTTGATTAGCGGAGCAGTTATTGGAGATCCTCCTATTCTAAAACTTCTTGACAATGCCGTAATTCATGTTATTCCTGCTGTAGATCCTGGATTTGAAAGAGTCCAAGACAGTTGCAATCCTATAGTCAACGATGAGGTTGGCCAGAAATTGCTGGAGAATAATAACAATGAAGATTTAGTTACAAGCGCATTCAAAAGAATGCTGAAAAGTGAAAACTACGATGTTATTGTTAATATTTTCGGAGGCGGGTTCGGGATTAGTTACACTGAAGATTTAAATGTGTACAAACGTTTGGCTGATAAATATGAGAGTGCAATTCACAAAGATAAGTGTGATGTTGATAGAATTGATTCAAATGCCGTCGGTGATTTTATACAAAAGCAATATCACATCCCTGTAATATCCTTGTCATTATCCTGCTGTAAGTATCCAGCTGCTGAAAAACTTCCCGGAATTTGGCGCGATAATTTACTGCCGATTAAAGAATTACTTTTTGATTTAACGACTGGTGTTAGAGTTGAAGTAACTGATGTAAATGCTAATCCGCTTCGGGAAGCTAAGATCGCAATTGGCAATGAAGTTTATGGTGTGACTAAAAATATGGCGTACTTTATCAAAACATTGCTGCCCAATTCTTATTCATTGACAGTAACTTGTCCCAACTATGAAAGCAAAGTAGTTAATGTCAAAGTTAAAGATCACGAAATAGTGGATGTAAAAGTGCAATTAGATGTTGTGAAGTCTACTGGGGTAGTAGAAGCTGTTGATATTAATAAAACTAAGTCTGTTAATTGGATCCTGGATGATTTGAACGGAAGATTTTATAACGTAACTCGGTTACATGTTATTGGAAACACCGTCAAAGGAACTACCATAATGGGACTGGAGATTGGCATCCAAGATGCGACTACTAAACTGACCGGAAAGCCGAGTATCATTTTCTCAGCTGGTGTTGGGAACGGTGCTCCGGTAACTCCTGAAGTTCTAACAAATTTCGCGACTTACTTAGTAACTAATTATCAAAAACACGAGACAATTTCTGACATATTGAAGCGCTTTACGATTTACATTGTGCCGGATTTGTATCCAGACAATCAAAGCAATGTCACGTGTTCAACGAAGTCTTCTAGAATAAAATTCCCAACAGAGGGAGAGCTTGGACCGGATGCTCAAATGATTGTAGACTGGTTCAAAAAAGTAGACGCTGTTGTTGCGGTTAATTTAAACGCTGGGTCGTGGCATATAGAGATACCATTTGGTAGCAAGGTTGGCTCAGAAGGAAATTACAAGACGAATGATGAAGAAACGTTTTTATACCTCGCTAATTCATACATTCAACATCTGCCAGCTCTGTCGTTACTTGATCAAAAGTGCAATGATGAGATACGGACGGAAACTAAAGGCATAGCGCATGGTGCCACTGCGTTGGCTGGTGGGAGGCCAGATTCGTTGATGGATTATGTTTATTTGAAAACTAGCACGCTGATGTTGGATGTTTATGTTACTTGTTGTAATAACGACCACCCGACAAATACCTGGGTTGATCATAAGAACAGTTTAGTGGGGATCATTCGCGCTGTTGAGAAAGGAGTCACTGGGTTCATTGTATCAGAGAGTGGCGAACCTATTGAGAACGCTGTTATCACTTATGATTATTCTGTTCATAAAGTTGTTTCTGGCAAAACCGGAGCTTGGTGGGTGTTGTTGCCGGCGGGTAGTCATAATATTACTGTTCAAGCTTCGGGGTATATTTCAGATACTAAAGTCATGTCAACACCCGAATTAAATAAATTTACACATCTGATGTTCAAGTTGGCGAGAAATAATCAAGTTTTGGGATTACCAAGGATTGTTTTTATCACCATTTCGAGTAAGTATGATTATTAGGTAGAGTTCTTTAGAAATCTATCAGTTGTAGGGGGCCATTCATTAATTACGTAAGGGTATTGAGGGGGAGGGGGAGTTAAGAAAAACTCTACAAGTTCTTACGTTGGGGGGAGGGGGGTAAAATTCATTCTTACGTAATATTTCGTGAATCAAAATTCAAGATTAAAAATCTTTCCATTTCGGATTCCAAATTGTTTTCTTAATTTTAAAGTGTACAGTCGAATTTTTATTTTATTTAAATAATTTTTGTTGCTTATTGAAAAAAGTAAAAAATAACTTATTAAAATTTTATATGTTTTTATTGTTATCCATGTTTGGTTCTATAGAAAAAATTATAGTACATTTTTCCGCGTATTATCATATTTTTATTATTTAAAAAATAAAAAAACATTTTCATCTACCGTTACATCTGATGAGCTACCAATTGTCTCTGATTGAATGACATGGATTAAAAGTCCGTTTTAGTCCGGATGAAGATTAATAATTTTAATTGATCTAGCTTTAACTATTTAATTTATGTTTTTGAGACTAATTTAAAACTAGTCAAATATTATTTTATGAACAATGTTATGAGTTTGTAGTTTTACTGATTTATGTTTGCTAGTATTATTTAAATTATTCCTTGTTAAAAAATAAAAATTATGGATCCACGTTGAACTGTAAGTTTTAGTGAAACTGATCTTTTTCTAACATAAAAGTTTATTATTTAGAAGATCAAGATAGAATCTTACGTAAGAAAGGGGAAGGGGGGGTTCGAGAAATCTTACGTATGTATACTTACATGGGGGCAGGGGGGGTCAAAATTGACCAAAATTGTCCTTACGTAATTAATAAATGGCCCCTAACATACTTAGTAATTTCCATTTAAAATGCAATAAATTGTAACAGTTATACATTTATATGTATACTTATCTATATTTAAATATAAATACAGTCTATATACTTATCTATAACAACTTTATTCCAAGTTACAAGTTATGAGTGATACGATAATATATAATATAAATGAGAATAAATTAATAGTGACGACTAGAACCTACAATCGACACATTTGCGATCAATAGTTGATCGAGGTCAAAATTTATTAGATGTCTCTTATCCACGTGAACCGCGACGTTTAATTTCCCACGTTTTAAAATTAAAACAATAATCGGATTCCCCAATAAGCCGTGACACGGTAATAAAGTCATCAGATTTCAACGCAGGCTCTTGTATTGATGTTTATGAATATTTAACACTAAAACAAAGCTCAAAAAAATAAAATAATTTCCAATCAAGTCGCACTTGTCACGTCATTCTATTTATTAATCGTAAATCCACGAGGAGACAAGTATTAATTAGTACGTCGGAGAATTGATGGCTAAATAATAAATCAACTCAATAATTGTCACATTAATACAAAATAAATAATTAAAAATTAATAAACATATTAATATGTCTCTGCGGGAAATTTTTATTTTAATTGACGATAATTAGGAATTTAATTTTCTTGTTAATGCATTTGGGAATTAAAACTTGATTAGAGATTTGATTGACATGGGGATTAAATTTTTATATGATATAATATTAAAACATTTCTTTTGATTAATTTGAGCAGTTTAATTCAGCCACTAACTATCAAAATAATTCTCTACACTGATAGAAGGATTTGTTTGTATTTAATAAATCAATTTATTAAAATCTTTTTTGGAAATTTTTTTGGGTGGAAAAAATATTTTTTTACTATTAACAATATTCGTTAGTATTAACTAAATCAATTTTTTATGAGAACAAAATTTTTGTAACTATTAAGAAGCTTTTGTGTATTGAAAAAAGTATTTATTTCCACCAAATAAGATTTGTTAATAGTTAACAAATATTTTGTTGGTGGTCGGTGTTGGTAGATGGCTCTACTTAACGTTTTAAATTTATCAATAGACTTTCTTATGAAATTGAATGTTTGAATTAACATTTTAAAATATTATTTTAATAAACAATAAGAGATAATTATTTGATTGAGCGAAAGGTTATATATCTTTAAAAAATTTTCAGTTGAAAAATAAATAAATTAGAATGTTTTTAAGCGATTTATTGTTTGTCAATTAGAGTTATTATTTTTTTTTTTTTTTACTGTTATTACTTTTATTAATAAATTTAATTTGTATGGATAATGATTAAACAGATAGATAAATACAGCTACAATGGCTTACGGTGGAATTCCAAAAGATATTGAGAATTACATGTCAGCACCCTACGATCCGCGATTCCCGAACACAAATCAAACTAAGTAAATATTTTTAATGTTTTATAAAAAAAAAATCATTTATTAATTAGATAGCCACTGTGAGGATCGAAAAAATAGGTGATTTTCGGGAATTTTTTTGACGGATAATAAAGGAATTTAAGGATCGGATTTTTTTGTTTCATAAAGTATACATTGAAGATCAGTCTCCTAAATTTTGATTAAAAAATATCATGTTGTTACAAAGTTATAAGCACTTTTGTGGAGCACCAAAAAAATTTCCCCCACCATGGTGGAATCTCTAACTCAAACCAAACTGTGTTGTAATTTGCATGCATGTGGTTATCGTTCCACGTAGGGGATTTTGAAAATTTTGATTTAAAAAAAAATCGCGACATATTAAAAATTTTTTCGTTTTTTTTTCTCATTTTTTGGATTCAAACAGTCCTAAAAAATCTTAAAAATCAAAATTTTCAAAATCCTCTACGTGCAACTATAGCTACTGAATAGACAAATGCAAAAAAAAAAATTACAAATTGGTTCATATTTATGCAAATTACAGATCCCACTAGTTCAAAAAAAGTAGTTTTGAAAAAAACGCGTTTTCGTCGGAGCGCCGCGCGTGCAATAGTCATTTGACACGTTGTCACAAAAATGACTATAATTCGAAAAATATTCGGAATTTTCATATAAAAAAAACTCTAGATGCATATTTTTGAATGTATAAACTTTGATTTAATAAAAAAAAAATATTTTTTTTCTTTTGAAATTTCACAGTGGCTATTCCCCATAATATGTTTCATTTCATCGAGTAATGTCGAAAAATGGCATTGGTTCAAAAGTTTATATGTATATGTGATATAACGCGCCATGTCAGCAGGATTGCGCCGACAGTTCTCAACCGATCTTAATGAAATTCTGTAGGCTCATTCTGTGAAGCAATACTAAGATCAAGTTCGAAGATGAACAAAATCGGCGGGTTAGTTTATGAGTTGTGGGTGTTCGAAAATTTTTTTTATTTTTAAAAAATTTTGAATTTCGTATATTTTATGGAAATAACTTTCCAGATGTAAAAGATAGATGAAATCTATTAAATTTATCTCAAATTACATCTAATTACCTTTAATTTAAGCTATTATTCGTCTTGTTTTGATGATTTCTTCAATTAATTCCATGATTTTGAAAAAATTTTTCCATGAACGTATTTCGGCTCTTTTTCTTTAAATAATTTTTAAGCCGTAGAAGTTAGCTTAAATCTATTAAATTTATTTTAAAGTTTACATGATTATCTTTAATTTAAGCTATTATTCGTCGACTTTTGATACTTTTTACAAATTATTTCGTAGTTGAGAAAATTAAAAAAAAATCAAGAATAAATTAATTTTTAACTTTTATCATCAAATGACTTTCATCCATTACAAATCCTATTTTTTAGGTAAATGTCTTTGAATATCTATTTGTTGTAGTCGGTCTCATATCGTTATTTGCAAAAATATTATAAAAAATAAATTTTATGACATTATTACCTTTTAATAACGTGTTTTTTTCAATATTCCAACAAGAAATCTACCTATTCATGTCGGGTATAGTCGAATGGCGCTTTTTAGTAGATTTCATAGAAATCTAACTATTGCAATGGTCCTCATGACGAAACTTTTGAAAAATTTTGCTATATTCCGACTTAACTCGACGAGTTGAGTCAGAAAATATATATGGCTCAAAAGTTTATATATATATACGATATAACGCGGCTTGTCACCACGATAGCGTCGCCAATTTACTATGGATCTTTATCAAACTCAACATACTTATTCCCCAGATAGATACCGAGGTCAAGTTCAAAGATAAGCTTAATCGGTCAAGTAATTTAGAAATGCCATGATTTCAAAATTTTCAAAATCATGAAAAATCATAAAAATTTCCATTTCTTCATTTTCGTACTTAAATAACTTTTGAATGGGATAATTTATCGAATTTCTGTAAATTGCATATGAAAGCTCTTTAAATAAGCTTCAATTTGAGTACCATATCATATGTGTAATCCCAAAATTATGTCCTATTCCGCTACGCCAATTATAAAATTTGCTATTGCAGTCGTTTTTTTTGTTTTTTTCTTTACTGTACACCAGCAGTAAGTAAACAAATAACGGAGTTAGGGTGAAATAAGCTTTTAATCGCCGGTTTACTAAAAATCCATTATTTTTTTCTATTTATGATGAAATCTACTTCCATTTCGACTGCCGAATGGTCTTTTTTTTATTTTATAATTTAAATTAAAATGAAACTTATGTTTTTTTTTTTTTCTTCTAGCTGTCATTTGTATTGCATTACTGATTATTGCAATCACTTGTTATATGTACTGTCAATCAGTCAAAGAAACTCAAAAAAATGATCGACGGGCTTATGCATTTAGTTTACTCAGAGATGGCACGAGCTTTTTTGATGATGATGAAAAGGAAGTTGAATTATTCAATAGGTCTAAAGGTATATATTTGTATTATTTATTTATTATAAATTAAAGTTAAAAAATTTTGATAATCCAAAGTACAGTTAAAATAAAATACAGCAATTAAAAGTTGAATTATTACTAAAAAAATTAAAATTTGTTATCGAGTATGATCAAATAATTGAACTATAATTATCTTATTTAAAAATTTAATTATTTAATTGTTTCAGATGAAATGCAGCAACAGAAAATAGTGAATAGGCCTTACTACGATGATGAAAATGAATTAGATTCAGATTCAGACGAAGGTAGTGATTTAGAATTCATAAAGCCTGAAGGTAATTGGGAAGATAGAGAACCTATTATGTCTGGAAAATAATATTTATTCTAAAAAAACTTTTTCGATCTTTATCCGTCCTCCAATAACTATTAACCATGTCGGTTTTATATTTTTAATAATATTTATAAACTTCTTACTATACATAAGAAATAATTTTTTAACAAATATATTTATAAAATTTACTATTTATAATAATTTCCACGTAATCGTACTGAATCAATCTTGTTACAGTGATATTTATTCATTTATAAAATCTATTGCTTCCATGAAACGTGATAAATTAAATATTGTAAGTACATAAAAATATGTAAATATTTTGCCAATTTTAGATAGATTTTTTATATACTGTTGACTACTAAATCATGTTAACTTTATTGAAATGAATAACAGTTATGATCATATAGATATAATGTACTTATTTATGTACTTTAAATACATTTTTTTAAAGATTTTTATACGTAATTATACTTTGGTAAATAATTGTAAAATTATACAGTAAAAAAGTATAATAATTATATTTATAATGATATAAATTTTTTATTTTATTAAATAAGATATGAGAACAAGTAATTTAATTATGTAGTGAAGAAAACTAAATAAACATTATTGATTGAGACATAGTATTAGAGTAAGATCTCCAGACCTTTATATTTTTACAATGAATAGTGTAATATGTCAGTCAAAATGTACATTTAATTTTTATTAAAAAAAATTATAAAAAAAAAAAAAAATAAAAATAATCTATCAAAATTGTTTTTGTACTTGAAAAAAAAAAAAAAATATATATCATAAGGTAAAGTATCCAGTAATTGAACAGGTTTCAAAGTAAAACGTATTTGACCCTACTTTTAATATACAAAAATGTAATTATTAGTTTTTCAATATTTATATTTTATAATTTATATCAATATTTATATTTTATAATTCAATATTTATATTTTGACAACGTTTTTAAGATAGACTATGAAAGGAGTAGTAGTTGAACAATCGATTCTGACAAGCCGCTAATTTATAATATTATAAAGAAAAATTTTAAGCTATTGAAAAATAGTAGATATATTAAGGGAGGTACCTGGGGAGAGGTTAAGTTTCGTTGGGCCAGAGTAGGTGGTGGGGAAGAGGGGTAGGGCACGTAGAAGTGTGTAGGTATGGTGCCTGTGGCGATAAGTGGAGTTAGTTGGTTCGGTCGATAATCTAAAGAGGTTCGGCGGGTTAGGTAGGAATTTTTAGATAGGGGATATGTCAGATGGTCAGGATAAAAAGCAGGCGGGAATTTTAAATTGGTACCAATCGGGTTTTAATCTTGGAAGAACGTTGAGTACGGAGGTTTTGGAAGAAACCGTTTCTGGGAGCAAAAGAATCAGGGAAACTGAGGGTGAGTTGCATCTAGCTAAGGATAAAGAGGAAAGGGAGACACTTAAGAGAAGTAGACTTCAGAGTAGAGAGGGTTCTAGGAGAGAGGAACTGAAGTTTGAGGAAATGGAGGCGCTAATGAAAAAGTTAGAGGACTTGGATAAGAGGATCAAAAAGGAGTGCAAAAAGGTCAGCGACGAAGTCGTTCAGCTGAGAGAGGAAGGTAAAAAGGAAAGAGAAGAATTTAATAAAGTTAATCAGGGAAGGAAGAAGAAGGACATAGTAAATAGGGATATTAAGAGGGAAGAGTGGGATAACCACTTTCGTAATACTCTTGGGGGAGTGGGAGTAAGGAGAATTGGGGAGAACGAGAACATGGAGGAGGATTCTGAGGATGATGAAATTGGACTAGAAGAAGTCAGGGAAGTGGTGAAAAGATTGAAGGACTATAAAGCCGTAGGAGATGATGGAATTCCGAATGAGGTTTGGAAGTACGGAGGGGAAGGAGTATTGGTAGAACTCTGGAGGATCTGCCAAAAGATCTGGCACGGAGAGAAGTGGCCGGAAGACTGGAAAAATGGTGTGATTGTACCAATAAGGAAGAAGGGCGATGGAACTAAGGTGGAGGACTATAGAGGGATAACAATTACTCAGACGGCATATAAGGTCTATGTTGGAATTCTGGAAAGGAGGTTAAGGATGGAGGTGGAGGGAAATGGACTATTGCCTGAATTACAGGCAGGATTCAGAGAGGGGAGAGGAACTATCGATAATGTGTACGTCCTGAACTACCTGATCAATCGTGAAATCGACAAGTGTAGGGGGAAAATGGTGATATTATTTGTGGACTTCAAAGCGGCCTTTGATATGGTGGACAGGAAGGAACTGTGTGAAGCGATGAGGAGAAGAGGAAACGTCTAGCAGAGTTAGAGTTGGAAAGGAGCTCGGAGAAAAGTTTTGGACGGAGAAAGGAGTTAGACAAGGTTGTCCTCTAAGCCCTTTTGCTGTTTGTGATTTTCCTGGCGGACCTAGATGAGGAAATGGAGAAAGGGAGATGGGGAGGTGTTGAGCTTTTTGGGGGGAAAAAAGTGTACTCGTTGGCCTACGCAGACGATATTGCCTTATTAGCTAAGGATGAAGATGAAATGAGGGGAATGATAAGGACCTTGGAAAGATATGTGGCTAGGAAAAGATTAGAGGTTAACGTAGGAAAGACAATTATGAGGTGCAGAAAAGGTGGAGGTAGAAAGAAGAAGGTTCGATGGAATTGGAAAGGAAAAGATGTGGACGAGGTGGACAGATACACGTATCTAGGTTATGTGATAAGAGCGAACGGGGACCAGAATGATCATGTGAGAGAGAGAGAGTGGTAAAAGGAGCAAGGATCTTGGGACAGATTTGGGGGATTGGAAAAAGGAAGTTCGGGCGAGATTGGGCTAGAAGGATTTGGTTGTTCGACAGGCTGGTGTGGTCAGTAATGAGTTATGGCGTAGAAATTTGGGGATGGAAAGCCAGAGAAGAGATGGAGAGTGTACAGGACAGATACCTAAGATGGATACTTGGGGTCTCTAAAAGAGTGGCAGGCTACTTGGTTAGAGAGGAGTTAAAGAGAGAGAGACTGGAAGGAAGAGCGGGGTTGAGAGCTTGGTGTTATGAAAAAAGAGTGGAGGAAGGTGGTGGAGGGTTAATTCCATGGAGATGCAGAATGGAAATGAGGAGAAGGATAAGGGCGGGAAGAGGTCTTGGAGGGTGAGAAGCAGAGAGAAGGGATTTTTACGAGGGGAGAGGATTGAATCTAGTGGAAGTAGAGAGAAAATGGGAGGAGGGTTTAATGAGGGGAGAGGATATGATAAAGATAGAAAAAGTAAGACAGGAAAGGGAGAGATGGGAGAGGATTTCCAGGGGAGTATAGGGTGTAAATAAGCAGTCCGAGAGCAAATATATCACTTGGAGGGCTGCAACTTCCTACAATAATACATTCTGGCGCTTGATAGTCCAAATGAGCTTGACCTATTGATGATACGTTGGGATCATATTCAACGTAAGACCAAGATGGCTGTAAAATAAAATTATTAAATTAGATTTTTAAGAAAAAAAATTTTTTTTTTTCTAATTATGAATTGATGTCAATTGAAGAGATGCTTTAATTATTGCAAGTTCATTTTATTAAATAAGATACTGTCATAAGAAAATTATAACAGAAAAAAGCCATTAATGGTAAATTTTTATTCCAGATAATTATATTATATATTCTTTGAAATGTACTAAAAAATTTAGATAAAAAATTTCTTATGTAAAATTGTAAAAAATATGACACTGAAATCGACCAGACATTTTACAATTTTTTTAAATTCTATAACAATCAAATAATCATGAAAAAAAAATTTACATGTGAAAATTTATGATTTTGAAATAAAAATACATCGGTCAATTTTTGAGATTTTTGTAACAACTACATTATCATAAAAAAATTTTAGTAAAAAAATTTCAAGAAAATTTTGTTTTATAACTAATTTTAAATAAATATCAATAAAATTATCAGATGTATTCTGAATTCAGTTCCATAAAAATTTATAAAAAATGTAAATGCGAACCTTCATGATACTGAAATTAGCAGACATAATTATTATTAGAATTTTTAAGACCAATTAATTACTATAAAAAAAAATTATTAAAAAAAAAATTCACACTAATTAGAGTTTCCGCATGTGGAATTGTTTTTCACTATAATTTAATTGTTATAAAAATCTAAAAAATTGTTAGATGTCTGTTAAATTCGATAGCATGAATTTTCAAAAAAAATTTTTTTTCTCATAATTGATTTATTATAAAAATTATCATATGTCTGCTGATTTTAGTACCATTAAAATATGACGCTGCAATTAACAGACAATTTTTTAGATTCTTATAACAATTAAATTATCACAAAAAAAAAAATCGTGAAAAATTTCTACTTATAGAAATTAAAAAAAAATGATACTGAAATTAGCAGACATCTGCTGTAAAAAAAAATTCCCACTTATAATTTTTTTTTCTATTTCTGAAATTTTTTTGCTAATTTTTTTTTTATAATTTGACCGTTATAAAAATATTAAAAATAGTTAGATGTCTGTTAAATTCAGTATCATAAAAAATTAGAATTACGAATTTTCAAGAATATTTTTCAACATAATTGAGACTAAAAATTTTGAAAAATTCTCAGCTGATTTCACTATCATGATAAAATACTAAAAAAAAAAATATGACATTAAATTTAGCAGTCTCTTGGCCATTTTTCAATTTTATTTACAAACAAATTTATTCCGAAAAATTATGTATAAAAAATTGTATTTTTTATTTTTTTTTAATTTTTTTTCTTATTTTTTTTCCCATAATTTATTTGTTAAAAAAATTCTTAAAATTATCAAATATCTGTTAAGTTAATTTTTATAAAAAAAAATGAAAATTAAGTTAACCGACATCTGAAAAATTTTCAATTTTTTTCATTGAAAAAATGATTACAAAAAAATAAGAAAAAAATTTCATTTTTAAAAAACTAAGTGCAATTTTTAAAAACCATTTTTTTGTTCCAATTCAGTAACCAAAAAAAAAAATAAAATAAAAAAAATTAAAAGCGTCAGCTGACTAATATTAAAAAAAAATACCTCTTTATCATTAGGGCTTTGATTTAAAGCACAAAAATCAAA